GGGCTCAGGCAATCCACTCACCTCAGCCTCCCAAAGGTGCAGGATTACAGGCTGAGCCACTGAGCCTGGCTGCTCTTATTTTTATATATAGATTTATCCTCCCTGTTGGCAGAGACCAAGCTTACTTCATCTCTATAACCTCAGGCACCAAAAAACTTTGCGACAAAAACTTTTGTAAAACTGAAGTATTTAGGGATAAAAGTTTTTGACCTATGCAATTTACTCTCAAATGGTTTATCAACGACAGATACAGCAAATACGGCAATGTGTGAAACCGACATATTTAGGTGAAAGGTATATGATGGTTCATCGCACTACTGCACCTTTTCTGTCATTTTACTTTTCCAGTGAAAACTAATATATAACAAACACTTTCATGACAAAAGAGAATGAAGGCGTGAGGGTTCTGTACTTAGAAGGAGCGGAAGCTGGGCTCAGTGGCTCAGCCTGTAATCCTGTGCTTTGGGAGGCTGAAGTGAGTGGATTGCCTGAGCCCTTGGGTTCGAGACCCGCCTGGGAAACTTGGCGAGACCTCATCTCTACAATAAATCAAAAACCAGCCGGGTGTGGTAGCGTGCACCTGTAGTTCCAGCTCCTTGGAAGGCTGAGGCAGAAGGATCACCGGAGCCTAGCAGGTCAAGGCTGCGGTGACCGGGAGTGTGCCACTGCACTCCAGTCTAGGTGACAGAGTGAGACTCCAGCTCAAAAAAAAAAAAAAAAAGAAGGAGTAGAAAAGGCTGGATGGCAACAGAGAAGCCAGTCAGTACCTGACAGTAATCAGGGAATGAAGGAGGAACAGAACTACAGGGTCTTGCCTCTGGGGTCACAACTTCGGCTTCAGTTCTAGAAACTGGGGGCCCCAATGAAGAGGTGGCTGGTTTCCATCAAAGCTTCCTTAGCCACAGGGATGATCAGGTACCTTCCGTGCTCGACTGTTGGTCACAGGAAACTCGCCCAGGCTGTCATCATCAACTCGGGGGTCCGGGGCTCCTCGCTTCTCCAAGGGGTCAGTGCGCAAAAGAGCCTCTAAACTACTGCCATCCTGAGAGATCAGCCCCTCCTTCTTCAGGGTCTGTTCTGTGTCTGCAAGCAATGTCAGGATGAGCCAAGGCTCAGAAGGGCTGAAAGCAGACTTCTCTGAGTCTACACAATGCTGAGGTTTACCAAAGGTCAGTCACTGTCCTGTTCTCTGGCTGCCCAGGAACCAAGCCAGCCTAGTTCACCTGGTACTATAACTTATCTGTTTACCTGTCTCCCCTACTAGACTGAGCTCTTTAAAGGAAGGAATCAGTTGGGCACGGTGGCTTACACCTGTAATCCTAGCACTTTGGGAGGTGGAGGCTCAAGACCAGCCTGGGAACTTTGTGAGACCTCATCTCTACAATAAGTCAAGAAAAATTAGCGGGGCATGGGGGTGCATGCCTGTAGATTCAGTTACTTGGAAGGCTGAGTCAGAAGGGTCGCCTGAGTCCAGAAGGTCAAGGCTGTGGTGGCCGTGAGCATGCCAAGGCACTCCAGCCTGGGCATCAGAGTGAGACTCCAACTCAAAAATAAATAAACAAATAAAAATAAAGGAAGGACTCACATTCATTGCAGTATTTTTTAGGATCTAGCATTGGGCCTGGTACATAACAGGTGCTTAGCAGGCCTCTTACCATGCAGTAGGCCACGCCCCTGCTCAGGGATGGTGGGCCTTACCTGGTTTAATAGATGGGAAGGAAAGTCGTGGATCCTCAGGGGGATGGGCTCGCCGCTTTTTCCGCCAGCGCCGGGCAGGGTAGGAGTACAGCTGTCCAGAAGCTAATCCTGCGGAAGGGAGAGGGAAAAGTCAAGCCCTAGTCCAGTCCTGGAAAAAATACCCACCATTTCTAGATGAGTAGGCCCCACGTTCAGTTCTATAACAAAGGAGGAACACTGACATGAGAGGCTGGGGGTTGGACAGAAGAATATGTGGAAAAGAAAAACAGATGTATGCTTAGAAGCTTTAGCTAACACATAGTTCTCTAGACACCTCAATAATGGCCTCAGCAGGGCAGAAAACCAAAATATTGGTATAAGCCTGTCTGCTTCATCCTCCCCGAGTTTCTAACCATGGGAAGACCATATTCATTCAAAGGCGGAATGCAGTAGGGAAAACCCTATCAACTGTCTCATCACCTAAGAAGAGGACGCTTTTCCCTCCTGTGCTCCTGAGTCCCCTTCTCCTAAGTCTGGGCCCTCACCTGGACCCCGGTGTCGCTTTTCCATCCAGATGTAACAGTTGCTCTGGGCTACTCCGGTCTGTGAGTCCAAGAAAGGCAGGCGCACACTGCGCTCGGCACAGAGGCGGGCATTGTAATTGTGGCACTGCTCCATGGCATCTTTGTAGTACTGCTCCCCAAGGCTGCAGGGTAGATAAAAATCGGTATATGTACCGGGGCAGGGTTGTGGGGTGCTGAGCTCTTCTCCCCGGTCATCTGCTTCTCTAGAAGGCTCAAGGGACCAAAGAGTGTCTCTTCAATTATATGAACTTCCTTATCTGCCTCATGGGACACCAAGCCTCTTCATTAAGCCATCATGAGGAAGTAAGTTACTGTTAGGAACACATGATTTCATATGTCTGATCAGACTTAAAGCTAACCCTTAAACAGGGGAATAAATCAATGTTTATTCCATGCTTCTGAGTCCAGCCCTGTGCTAGTTTTTTTTTCTTTTTTTGAGTTGGAGTCTCACTTTGTCGCCCAGGCTGGAGGGCAACGGCATGCTTACAGCCACCACAGCCTCGACCTGTTGGGCTCAGGTGATACTTCCACCTTAGCCTTCCAAGTAGCTGGAACTATGGGCATGAGCCACCACACCCAGCTAATTTTTTTATTTATTGTAGAGATGAGACCTCCCCAAGTTACCCAGGCTGGTCTCGAACCCAAGGGCTCAGGCAATCCTCTCACCTCGGCCTCCCAAAGTGCTGGGATTATAGGCGTGAGCCACCGTGCCTGGCCCTGTGCTAGTTTTTATTTCACTTAATAATTACGACTCTGAGAAGCAGAGCCATTATCCCCTCCTTACAATGAGGGAAAGAGTTCATCAAAGTCTAGGAGAACTTATTAAAATGTATTTAGCAAACTACAGTAAATCCACACAATAAAATTCTATTTAGCTATAAAAAAAAGAGAAGGAAGTTTTTCAGGTACTGATATTAAACAATCTCCAAGATAACTAGGGGAAAAAAGCAAGGTATACTGCTGAGAAGTGTCAGAGAATGCTACCATTTATATAACAGAGGTGGAAAATAAATCGTAGGTCTGCAGGGAGAAAAACTGGGTGACTAGGACACTTTCCTCCATATGCCTTTTTATATCTTTTGAATTTTGAACTAGGTTTCTAATCAACTAATTAGTATTATATGCTTATTTTACACTTATGGAAGACATCTACGAGGGCCTGAAGTTCCTTGAAGCTTTTATTGAACACCATTACTGATATGAAACATGTCTGCTCTAAGGCCCATCCTAGGCCATGCCCCATTCTCACACAACCAAAGAATTTCTTGGTCTCAAAAGACTCAATTTGAAAACTGAATCAAGGGTAAAACTTCAAGTGCTTTAAAAACCTGGAAAACTATACAGTATCAGGAGTTACCTGATTCTAAAAAGCATAAATAAAAAACCAATCTTGTTCTTATCCTTTAGTTTAACAAGCACACAGAGGTTAACTAACTATAATAATTCGCATGCATTCAATTTTTTGTTTGCTTGTTTATTTGTTTTTTTGAGTTGGAGTCTCACTCTGTCCCCCAGACTGGAGTGCAGTGGCTGCTCCTGATCACTTGCTGGGCTCCGGTGATCCTTCCACCTCAGCCTTCCGAGTAGCCAGAATTATAGGCGTGCGCTACCACGCCTGGTTAAATTTTTTTTTTTTTTTTTTTTGAGTTGGAGTCTCACTCTGTCACCAGACTGGAGTGCAGTGGCCGCTCCCGGCCACTGCAGTCTCGATCTGCTGGGCTCCGGCGATCCTTCCGCCTCAGCCTTCCAAGTAGCTGGAACTACAGGCGCGCGCTACCAAGCCCAGCTAATTTTGATTTATTGTAGAGATGAGGTCTTGCCAAGTTGCCCAGGCGGGTCTCGAACCCGCGGGCTCAGGCAATCCACTCACCTCAGCCTCCCAAAGGCGCGGGATTACAGGCCGAGCCAAGGAGCCCGGCCTGTTTGTTTGTTTTTTAAGAGATAGGGTTCCGCTATGTTGCCCAGGCTGGACATGAAATCCTGGACTCAAGTGATCCTCCTGCCTTAGCCTCCCAAGTAGCTGAGACTACAGATGTGTGCCACAGCCCCTGGGTTCAATCAACTTTAAACTGAGGACAGAGATGATGTCTTTCTCATGGTACTCCCAATCCCATGAAGATGTGTGGGATACAGTCAGACTTGACTTGGGAGTAATAAGACCTGGCTTGGCTGCAAGTCACCACATGAACAAGGACATTTAGTTAAGCAAGGTGAACCTCAGCTCCTCTTCTGCAGAGGAGGTGGGACCAGATGAGCTCTGGATTCTATGAGTTTATGCTCTGGCATGAGAAGCTGAACAGATTAAGTCTCTGTGGCTTATGCCCATTTCTCAGCCCACACCAACAAATCCTGCTCTGGAATTTGGTGGGGCCTTCAGCGAATAGCCACAGGAGACCACTGCACAGCTTAGCATGTTCACAGTGAGTGAAAAAGACACAGGCCATACACAGAGACGGCAACACCACTAGCACAGCCCGGCTTGATTCACCGAGCTGTAATGACTACAATTCGAGGTAGGCATAAATCTTGTGTTAGAAACAGAGAGAAAGCAGCCTCCGTTTGCTTGCCTTTAGGAGGCAGCCACGTCCTCACCACACAGAGTAAAATTGGATAAACAAGGCTGAGTGCCGCAGCTCCTTTGTTCCTGCTGATGGGAATTGATATTGACGCTGAAGTCAAACGGAAGGAAGGGCCAGACCGGCTGAAGGCTGCAAAGTCAGAGCAAGGAGGCTGGAAATGGTTTTGAGGGGAACAGAATAGAGATGTCTGTCACAGCTCTTGTGAGCTAAGTAGGATTTCAGAAGGTAAGGCAAGCAGTCTTGTGGGTAAGAGGACTAGGAATGAAACATGTGTGTCGGGGGGAAATCTGATGAACAGAGAGGAAAGTGAACTCTTAAGATCGTAAGGCTCCGATAGCAAGAAATTTCAGATTAATATTCTCTAGATCTTGTGGCCTAATTCAACCACAGCTATTTTATTTTGCTATTGTGCCCTCCTACTAAGGGCCCTTAAAGACTGTTTCAGTTCTGACATCACATTTGGAAGGGACAGAGAACTTACAGATAGGAAAATTCCTCTCCCAGAACGAGACGCAAGACAGAAAAGATGAGCTAGTTGGTAGTCCTGACCACAATGCATAACCTCAGCTGTCAGATGAGCACACTATAATCAAGTGCTAGAAAAGCATCTCTTTCCAGGGTGCAAATGGTACGGGAAGAATGGAAGCTCCTTCTTTCTTAAAGAGATAGTTCTGTGGGGGGATGTATTAACTGCGGTCTGTAACCCTCTACAGCTAGAAACAAGGAGGAGAAACGTTGGTTTGCATTACTGGTACTCTGGAATTCATGGCTGATGATCCTCACAATCGCTACAGTTCTTTAAAGAGAAATCAGAAGTCATGCTCTATTTTTTTTTTAGTTGGAGTCTCACTCCGTCACCCAGGCTGGAGTGCAGTGGCACACTCACGGCCACCCCAGGGTTGACCTGCTGGACTCAGGCGATCCTTCTGACTCAGCCTTCCAAGTAGCCAGAACTACAGGTGTGCGCTACCAAGCCCAGCAAATTTCATTTATTGCAGAGACGAGGTCTTGCCAAGTTGCCCAGGCTGGTCTCGAACTCATGGCTCAGGTGATCCTCTCACCTCAGCCTCCCAAAGTGCTGGGATGACAGGCTTGAGCCACTGCACCAGTCAGAAGTCACGCTCTATTTAAATGGGCAACTCCTCAATTATAACACTACATGAAAGGGTTGGCGACCCTGTTTCCCTGACGAAAGTCTTTCAACATGAAGAGCCTTTGACTCTCAAAACCTAGGCAAGTCTAACATTCCCCCAGTGCAGTAAGAGTTCCAGGGTAGAAGCTTTGAATCTTTCTTGAGGATCATAAAACCGGGGTCAAACCACCCCTTACAACTGGATGAGGGCAGTCAACAAAGAGAAGGGCACGGAAACAAAGAAAGAACATCTGAGTCAGGAAAGATAACTGTATAAATGGTAGACCAACAGTGTCATCGCTAAATTGAGAAAAATGTCAGCCTGAAGGGAGAGCTGGGGAAACTGGAGTGGGCAGATCAGAAAGATAATCGTGATGGGAGGAGGGGTGGCTGAAAGAGGCAGCGGGGTAGAGCAGAAAGCAAGTTTGAAAAAAAAAAAAACAACAAACCAAAAAAACCACAAGAAGAGGAGAGGGCACTTAGCTTAATGGAAGTGGGAAAGCTTTCTCAAAGAAGAGGCTCCAGGCAGGAGGGAAAAGCAACTTACCCTCAAAAAAAAAAGACTCTGGGGAAGAGCAGGGCTTAGCCTACAACAAAGACGTGCTGAACTTGAATCTTTACCTTGCACTGCAGTCGAAATCCCAAAGCCCTGCGCGGACCGCTAGACATCGCTCGATTTCCTTCCCTTGCACCAAGCCCCACGTAGCCATTAAGCGGCTTGCTTCAGGGGCCCAGGGGCTACTAACCCATTTCAAAACTCATCAGGATGCTTCTTCGGGGAGGAAGGAGGCGGGAATCAATCAAGTCCCCAAGCACCTTGCCCCCCCCCCCCGCTGACAAACAGTCTCCGTGTCCTCACCAGCCACCAACTTGCAACTTTCCTCGAAATCCGCCCAGCACCCCGGCATCGTCTGATATGCACAACGTCGCCCCCCGCCCCAGTCCCCGTTAGGCCCTAAAGTTGCCCCCGACGGCTTCGGGCCGGTTCCCGGTTTTCGGACGGCAGCGACCCACCCGGGACCCCTCCCCTGAAGTTCTTTCCCTTCCGAATCTGCTCCTGGACGGATTCTTCCCGGGGACATTTATCTGGTCTCCCCGAGACCCCCACTGAGAACCGGATCGGCCCCGCAG